CCTAACACCTGGTAGTTATTTACTTTGACTGAACCCAAACTTTCAATATAATTGTCTTATACTCTGATATGGATAAGGTAGCATTTTGATGGACGACTAGACAGCGACGTCTAGTTATTGATGTGCACTCCCTTGACTTTCCTAGGAAGGAAATGCTGACACGACAAGAATGATGGTTAAGCACAGGTCATTTTGATGGCTGTTGTTCAGAGTCATTCCTTCCGAATATTCCAGATCAACTTCGAGATGAGAGTGCTTTTTAGGAAGTACGTGCCTCAAGGAACCTGTTAAGGCCAAAATGATTTATACGTTGTTGGCGTATACAAAACTAAATATCTTAACTCAGAAAACTTCATAGTGTACCGATTTGAGATGACTAGTAATTCAAGTCAGGTTTTCGGGTTGGCTATAACATAATTAGCCTGTTTCATCAGTTTCGTATGTCTTGCTGGTCAAATAGTTAGCCATTTATTCTGATAATGACAGGCGTAAGGATTAGCTAGCGCACAATAGTAAGACCCCTTAATTGTCTAGGTAGAAGGTACTGCGATCATTCTATTGGAATGTTACATAATGATGTTACTGCTTGTTTCCATATTCACATTAGCGCAGCTGATGATAGACTGGGCTGTAAATACGGCAAGTCAGATAATCAATGTGGCAATATATATAAGGAGGTTGGCATACACAGAATTCAGTCTTACGCAGATGCTATAGAACTGCAGCTGCAACTACAGAAGCTCTGTGCCAGACTTCCCCACTTGATAAATATATGGGCTGATGTGACTGACGTGGATGGATTGTCCGCATGTTTCCGGTGACTTGTGAGTCTTGTTGTTGTCAGTACCGTACAACTAGAAGGAGACCGAAGTTCTATCAACCTTGTAGGAGCAAAGACTTTGAGCGCATCGCAATTCGTGTTTCTGTACAAGTACATCGTGCACACTTGTTTTGCAAAGGGAACACAACGCAATTCTGGTGCCTGCTCACATCCAAGAAAGCAATCCTAGAAGGTGTGCGCTTTTGAGGACAGCCGATGATATACATGGACTAATGTAAAATGATGGCATAATTGAATAACAGGTGCAAATAGCTAAAGGATGACAAATCTCGTTGCATGGTTTATGTGAAATACATCGGTTCAGAGGAATACTTTTAGCAACCTGGTGAACCGCGCATCTGTTGGCTTAAATTTTCAACCAATTTAACACACCGATACTTCGACTACACTGATTTCGTAAGAGCTAGTGAGCAACCTGTTAATTAATGTCATTTACCCGGTGAATACGATGTCACGTAATGTATAATGTGTACCGCTTGGTGATTCACGTTCAAATTGATAACCTGGGCGAAAAATGCTGTAATTTAGAAGAGCGTAGTACGGTTGAGGAATTTGAACTTAGAACAACTCGGGCCATATAACAACTGGCTCAAATATGTTTACAGTTTCATCTGATAGCAAACTTGTGTTGGGTTTCTCCATATTGGCTTTTCGAAAAGGACGCTAAGCCTAAAGACATAACGTGAGCAATTCCGATCTTACAAAGCATTGCCAGAATTTTGAACTTATGTGGCTAAAGTGTTTGCAGTGATGCATGCATCCAAAACCTTAATTTATATAACGGCTTACATTTTCCCCAATTTTACTTGCTTTTCGTTAAGTGCACATTTGCATTCGCAGTTACTTGGTCTCCGTCAATGAGTCTGATGTCTTATGTCTGATGTAGTACGTTGACTTATGTTCCATGTTTATGTATATTAGTCAATTTTCCTCACCGGTCAGACAGTCGGGGTGACCGGGGAACCCTTCGAGGGCAGGGTCACTCATTTAGTCACTCAATTAGTCATAACTATTTTGACGCTAATAACGACTTTTCATAAATAGCTTCCTATGTAATTATAGTATAATTTTAGTTGGTATACCAAGTGGGGATTACTACAATGATGTCGGTCGCGTACACTAAGGAATTGCAGTAGATTCAATCTGTCGCTCACTCGAAAGATTGTTCGGAATGTCGACGTGTTCTTTGTCCGGAAATTTGAGGTCTCCATTTGATATTCGGTCAAATTTTCCACACTTGGTTATTGTACTGAAAGTGACAACACAGATGTTTTATGCAATTCACTTCAAGTTGACAGATTTGTTTAACATTTAGGAAGCTACTACTTTTGCATTGAAAAGTTGATGTCATTCCATTAATTGCACACCAAGATCACCGTACGAGAAACCAGTCTGGCCTGTTTAGTACACCCTCCTAAATTAAGCACGATATTTGCTTGACTGAACACATTTTACGTTATCTGCTGAAAAGTCGGCTATTCTCCATTTAAATTTTAATAGTTTTATCTAGCACACAAACAGTCCTGTTAAACTCATATACTTTTTTATTTAAACCTCGCTACCTCCTGCACAATTACATAGATAATGCTTGACGGTAACATCATTTTCTGTGTTGTGAATTTTTTATATCCTGTTAACGGTGACGACATTCTGATCCATGAAAACGACTACCTTGAATTGAGTTCCATCAAGATGGGGTATTCGGAGTGTTACCCCCAAAGATACTGTTGAAGAGATATTTTTTATATATGGTCAATAACGGGTTACAAAATTCGTGGTTAACGATTTTTGGGTAGCATTTTTTCATCATTAGGCTATTACATGTGCTCGGACAGTAAACGTATCTGTTAATGTACCACAATCGTTCAACATTTCTTTATGCGCCCTAGTCACTGCAATAAAAACAAGCCAACATTACATGAGCGGTGTTGGTGACAAGCAAGCTGCGCTGTGGTTCTGGTGCCGTGATTTTGTATATGGTCCAATACTCTGTTGTGACGACTGCTTCTTAGGTTTAGAAAGCCAGGACTTCAATGATTCCGGTCGATCTTTTGAAGGAACAGCGCATGAGCATCAGCCGCTTTCTGTTGATAGATTGCAATATTGCTAAGAACTTATAATACATGGTAAGCGCGGAGGTGGAACGTTGATAATTCTCCGTATTTCCGTGTGCAAACCTAGTTTAACAAAGAAATAGTTAGAAGACTAATGGAAAGTAGTATCCTTATTGTATGTACTTTGTCAACTAAAATTGGGGCTATTTTCTTTTCTCACAATTAGCACTGAACATCACGTTTCAGTAACGTTACTTCCGGAGGTCAGTGGCTGTTAGAGCATCGGACGTTTAACCAAGTTTACTTACGAGCATCAAGTTAGTACTCTGCGAAGATCATTTATCTTGGATCTATGAATGAGCGAATTATCACCTAGTTAGTTAAATGAAATTGTTTGTGTCTCAACCGAAAATTTTTTTATTTAATTCTGCCACAGTCTTAGTGATTAAAAGACCTAACTTGACTCCACTGGGAATCGCGGTTCACATTGAGATTGCACGTCGCAATTTATTCACACAAATTGCACTTTAAAGTTCTCCACAAACCGATTAGCAAGTTATTGCTAGTGTGTCATCCTGTTGCGGAGCACTTGCACCTAACGCATAAGTGGAATGAAGCATACAGCGCATGATTCATTACTGAGAGTATCTAAGTGGACTAGTAATGACAAATTGCTCAGTGCACACATCTTATGTACTTGCGCTTATAAATCCTTATTCGTGTGTGCCTTTGAAAGCCAACTGAATTGCTGCGTGCAAAACCTGCCCATATACATGATTCTAAAGAATATGTTCAGAAAGGATTTGAAGTCCAACATATAGAAAATGGCTATGGCGAATACAGCAGTTGACCGTGTCAACTCTATGGTTGCTGAGTGGTGTCATTTAGGTTAGTCTGGTACTCAGACATTTCTCCATAATCAAGATGAGTTTACATACGTTTTATGCTGGTTTATTTGTATGGCAAGTAAAGTGGACCATTCTCACAAAGCCCTTAACTTGCACTACATATATAGTTTGCGCAAACATGTTGCACATGACATTGTTGATAACCTAATTTTTTTCCCAAATAGATTGGTCCGCATTTTGTAATCTACGTGTTCGCCGCTTTGGAAAGCTTTGTCAGTGTGTATTTTATTAACGCGTTCCTTATTTCTTGACAGACATAAATCGATAAGGGTAGTAAACATGCGCGTATTATTATTTAACTGTCCCGGAAATTTGTATTTTAAGATGCAACACCTTAGCGAGACGCCTATTAACTATAGAATTTTGAGCAATGATATATGTTCATGAAATAATTATGTATAGCGGTCGGCATCCTGTGCATAACGCGCATGCGCTATCCATAATATGTTCACCGTAGCGTGGAGATATGGATGTCAGAAACACGCAATCTTATACAGACCAAGGTCCACTAACCATGCTGTAAAGTGCAAATACGTTACCTAACTTGCGACTAGATATTGTAAGCTGTATTTTCTACATTGTGTTTTTTTGAATGAACAAGGTTTAACAAATGTGCTTTTTAACATGTGACAGCGGATCTCGTGAGCATGCTAATAAGCTATAAAAATTAATTTTCTTCAGGAATTCGGTTCGTCATGTCAAAAGCGCGTATAAGTTTTCCCAACGTTTACTGTCTGCGCTAATACATACCAATTAACTGCATATTAGCCAAGCTTATTCACACAGAAAACACATAATGCAAATGAGACAAAAAGTAATTGCAATTACTCGTTGCGCAGCCTATATAAATTGGAAACCCTTTTATATCTACTTATAATGGTGTTACGTGATATCTTTGTTTTTATCTCGTCTAAAGGGTTGGGGCATTTACAAATAGCACCACATCCCTGCTTCTATACTATTTGCTACCTTGTTAATTTTATTGCACATACCGTAAGATGACCTCTTCAGCGTGCAGTTATGCATTCTTATTGTACAGTTGGCTTGTAAGCGTGTCGACGTATCCGCGCACGCTCGTCCCATCTGAACCCCATAACGCAAATAACCAATGAATATCGCTGCTGGGAAAGGAGAACAATTGGTCACTACAGTGGATAATAGACTAACGTGGTGGACACATTTCTGACAGTCTTATAACGACAATACCTTCTACCAGGAGTTAGGTTCAGAACAAAAACGAAGAACTGTTATACTTAAACACACATTGTTGAAACATTGTGTCGTTCGGAGCCTGGGAAATTCTGATTCACTTGGCTGATCGTCAACACGGTTCTGTGCAAAAGAACATTGTATAACTACAACAATTCTGGAATTTCTAAAGGTTTGCGCTTGCATGGTTATTCATGCTTTCGAGCTCTTTCTTCGTCAACAACACATAACTTGTCTTGCCGAAACGCCTTACGTATTAGACGCCGGAATTAACAATAATGGTTCATGTTGCAGCATGAAGAGTAAGCTTGTTATTATTTTCTTTCTCTACAAACAAAATGCAAATTAAGAAGTGGAATATTATAATATTTATCAAGTAGGTCAATGGTTGTGAAAGTGTTTTATTCAAGTGGTCTTACGATTTTGTATAGTTTATGATGCCAGAGGATATTAACAGGTAAGCAAAAACGAATGCAGGCAAAATTGTGTCCAGTCAGTTGCAAAATATATTTGACCCAGCCAGCATAAATGTGTTGCTGAGACCTTTATAATTTTGTCAAAACTTGGAAGTGGAATTTATAAATTGCACATATAGCTGGGTGTTGCGACTGGAGCAAACGAGAGATTCGTATTTAATAGTAGAACCTAATTTGATACCTCATTAACTGAAAACTGTTTTTTAACTCCCGACAGTAGAGTTGCGTACGGTCAATTCCAGACATTAGCTGCCCGCTAACGAACAACACAAAATATGCAGTTAACAAGAAGTTGGACAGCTGGGGTTTCTGAAACAAAATTTACGTTAAAGATGCATTCGTATTGATTGAATCTTTCTGAAGGGCAGGTCAGTTAGCAAATTATCATTGTTGTTAACTTGTACAAAATATCATTTTGATTAGGAAATATTTGGTTGCAGAAAACTGAATTACCGTTCAAAAACAGCATTTCGTGAAGCCATAGGATTTTTCTCCAACGCTTAATCAAATAACAAGCAATGTTTAATAGCAAATATTACTCTGAATACAAACTATGGTAATTGACTTAAAGCCAAGCAAAAACATTAATGGCATAATCCAGTTTTGTGCAACTGTAATCAGAAGTGCAACTTAAGTATTTTTCTTATATGTAGGTTATTTACATACTTCATGTTCAGCAAAACTTAAGTATTACTGTTGCATTTGGTGCAGGTTTGCTTACATTATTACATTTCACCAGCAAATAAGTTACTATACAGTGCAATAGCTATATGCTATACCATGTAATTTTGTGTTAAACAAACAATATTTGACGATAGAAAACGTAGCGCGTTATCTTTTATTAGTAAATGATTGCCAGGGCTATCGCAGTCAGTTTCGGTAGAAAATCATCATAATTGATGCACTAAATTATGTGGTATATTTTTAGTAAGTTATGCTGTCAGCCTGGCGAGCACTTTTGTATAGGGACCGAATTCTTTCCACTAACCATTAAAATGAACCCAACAAATACTAGTTTTCTGTTAACCGCTAAGCGAATTCGCACAATATACCACCGATGATATTATAGTCACAAATTTACGATTGAATTGTTATGCAAATATTAGTTTGAATAAATTTGGCGAAAATTTGATCATGTTTAAAATTTTAGTATTTTTGTCCAAACCCATGTCGTTAACCAAATAATCAGTCCTTGCTTAGGGTGCAAGATTTGTAAGCAGTAGAAAATTGACCAGTCAAGTCCGCTAATTCAAAGGAATGCAGACATTCAGCTATATACCCTTTAGCGTTTTTCACTGGCAATACTTATAGAATGAAGCAAGAAGGTTAACACATTTCATGAGAATAAGATACCCAGCGTGCTCTCGTAATATTTAGGTATATATTAGTGCTTACGTAGCATTCAAATGAATAAGTCATAAATACGGTAACACGCTGTTAGTGACAAAATGATCCAAAATGTTGAACGTGCAGAGGAGCACAAATATGTTTTTGATTTGTGAAATGTCGTCTGGTGGAATGAGTCAATTACAAAAGTTAAACAAATAGAACCCAATTGTTGTGAAACTCAGTAAATCGCATATTATGGAGCAGTTACTGGACGGTTTCCTGCACAAGAACAATTACTTAACGATAGATAACAATATTTAAAATGGTTTGAAGAACAAAATTGGCAGTTATTTACAAAAAATGCAGTCAATGTGGAAGAATTTACACAGCTAAGTTATATTCTAAATGTAAGGATATTATAACATTTAAAGTCGCAGAGTACAAGACATTTTCCTTTGTCTCAAGCAAATGGTTTCTTAAACGTGTGCTGAAAGTAGTAGAATTTTTGATCAATTGCGGCGAAATTCCTCCCAGTGGGTAGGCTATGTACGCTGTGAATTTAACTGGACAGGAGAAGTAGTTTTAAGTTTCCGCGATAAGATAACCCTATATCTTGACATTTATACTTTTTGCATAAAAACCAAAAGGATAGCAACTGTTCAACTTCGTGCAACCCCTTTTGGAATCCCAAACTAAACTTTGTAATGTTTCGCCTAATGTAACATTTATAACCGTTTATAATCATTTGTAACTATTACATTTTAATGCAATGAGAAACAATTGTTTGCAAATATTAATTCATATTGTAAATTTTTCGTTCACCGCGCTCCATAAAATGTTAGAATATTATTGGTTGACAATTAAATTAGATAGGAAGATACCTGTAAATATAAGTATGGGTGTATCTACGAAAACGGACAAACAAAATAGAGCTATAAAGCAGTAATAAAACGAAGTTTCCTGTTATAGACGTTAAAGCACATCTGCGTCAAATGCAACTAGATAGTCAAACAAAAATAATCGCTTTAAAAATTGAACAGTGCTGAATGCATAGTTTTAGTTGTACTACGAAATGCGTCCTGCGGTTTTAAATTTTTATCATCTAAATGGTCAGCGCCATCAGTTCCAACTTCCAGAGACACGTAGGAGTTAGCTATGATATGTTATCTTAGTAAGTGGAAAATTCCCATTTAATCATCAAGAACAAGTGACCGAAGGTAAACATTGGTTTTTGATGAATTCATTGTCAGACATTTACAAGCATGTGGGTAAAGTGCAATGGGAGTAAGAGTGGTTTCGTTCAGTTCAAATGAAATTAGATCACGTGCCAACCGGGTCATAAAACAGCAATAAACGTTAAGGATAAGCGCAAACTAAAGCAAAGATGTATTCAAAGGATGGCACATGGCCTACGAATCGTCCATTTTATCTAGCCAGGGTATCTTAAGAGCTTCGATCAGTTTCTTTTATGAATACAAAAGCGGTTGGTACAACATAATACTGATCGCCTCAGCTGTAGCGAGGGTACGGATGCGCAGGCCTTTCGATTGCAGTGGCGGAACCTTGTAGAATATCCAAAAAACGCGGACCGGATCGACTTCATGCCCGCTATCAACTAGATGAGCCATAACAGAGCTAGTTATAGCCCCGGTACCGCCTCAACGCAACCAGCGTGAAAGGTGCTCATTAATGCGCTTTGACAAGTGCCGCGCCGTTCGACCGATGTAATCAGCGCCACAAGCGTGCTCGAACTGATATATGACCACAGAAGCGGTCAGAATCCGCAACTTCTCTTTGTTGCAAATACGAATAAGGGGCGCTAAAGCTAAGCAGCTGGAAAACTTGACTTAACGGCCGTGGAAAGCTTCTGGCTACACGTACGGCAGCTGCGCCTGCTTTGAAAATTATATACATAGCTTTTTATTCTCAGCGGTTGAAACCTACACCGGGTCGGGTTTGTCTTGCCTGTTCTTATGAATGAATAGATCAGGATACCAGGTTTCGAGCAGCAATTTTGTATGAACGTCAACTCCGTATCCACCGTGTCTTCAGAACATGTCCTGCGGGCCCTTGTGGTTAGAGAGCGGATTAGGATTCGCTTGTATCTCAAAAGAACGAAAATTTGGAATTTCGTATACTGGCTACTCCAGGTTTTCTTCAGGTAGACGTTCTGTTATCTTGTCTGTCAGCCTGGTAAACAGCTAAACACCTCCATCCGATTTCCAGTATCACAAATCTTCAAAAATTGCAGTCGTTTCTGACTAACAGTAATTTAACGGTTGTAGACAGGTTATTTCTTTATTCTAAATAACTATAATGATAAAGAAAAATAATTTTTTTATAAACAGTTTGTCTGATATATGCACAGTAATGTTTGCAAGGATTAAACTAGATTAAGATTTGTAGTTCGCTTATGTAAAATCTGCCAGGAGATTGTCTAAAATATTACATAATAAGTGACCTAATTTAATCCTGAAGTTTATAATAGTTCGTTAATATTGCAGTCTAGTGCGGAACGTCGGTAGATGAGACATTAGTCAAACTTTCCAATATTGCCAATTTTATAATATAAAAGCCAACTTTTATTATTCTTATCTAATTTACGTCTTCTTTTAGCCCAATTATAAGGAATGCTTTATTTACCAGAATAATCGCATACTTAATTAAAGTAACGCTTCTTCGAAGACAGACTAAGCATCATTTACGTTTCCGTTGCGTCACAACTGAAAGTATCAGAACAACGCGAATTACCTTTAAATGTGGTATTGTTCGCAGATGTTGCTGACGTAAACATCGCCAAATAAGAACCAGGTTTCATAGGAGTTGTGATGTGTTAGTTTCCAGAGTCTTCAAGATTTAATGCATTTCAAATGCATGCGCCAATGAAGTAAGAAGAGCTAAGTGTACTCAAGAGCATAAAAGTGAGGTACAGGGCATAAATCATCTTTTGTTTCAATAAGTGCTCAAAATGTGGTTTACTAATCTAACATTTGGTATGTTTGGATAAATCAAAGCCCCTTGAAAATAAGTAATAAATTAAAATGATACAACGTTATATAAGCGTTGAAGTAATTTTTCGAATTTTAAAATATTGTTGTTAATATTCAAATACACGATTGGTACACCAATAAAAATTTAATTGTTGTTTTGTCTTAAAGAAAATTTTAACCAAATGGTCATCGAAACGGATTTCTTCGTTAGAGCAGTATATTTTCCTTGTTCATTAAGAATGCATCTGTATTTCTTGCAGTATATGTTGCGGCTATACCTGGTAATAATAACTATTAGTGCAGAAATATAGCTAAATCAAACCCATTGCAAATATGCAAGCGTGGTTTGCGTTATAATTTTTACGCAAAACAAGCAACGACAATTGGACTTACCGGATAGGTCATTTTGATCTGGTCTGGCGTAACACCATCTAAGTGCTATATTGTTCCGTAGGAAGTAGCGGTGGTATGTTGAAAGATGTAGTGAACGAAAACAGGCATGTAGAA